CGATGGCCTCCAACCTAGTAGCTTAGTAGCTTCTTGTTACTAGTAGTAGTCGTGGCCTCCAACCTAATAGCGATGGCCTCCAACCTGGTACTAGTAGTAATGGCCTCCAACCTAACAGCGATGGCCTCCAACCTAGTAGCTTCTTGTCACTAGTAGTAGTGGCCCCCAACCTAATAGCGATGGCCTCCAACCAAATAGCGATGGCCTCCAACCTAGTAGCTTCTTGTTGGCCTCCAACCCGTTGCTTCTTGCTACTTAGTAGTGATGGCCTCCAACCTATTAGCGATGGCCTCCAACCTGGTAGCTTCTTGTTACTACTAGTAATGGCCTCCAACCTGGTAGTTTCTTGTTACTAGTAGCAACGGCCTCCAACCTAATAGCGATGGCCTCCAAGCTGGTAGCTTCTTGTTACTAGTAGTAACCACCTCCAACCGGCCTCCAAGCTGGTAGCTTGTTGTTACTACTCCAACCTAATAGCGATGGCCTTCCAAGCTGGTAGTTTCTTGTTGCTAATAGTAACGGCCTCCAACCCAGTAGCGATGGCCTCCAACCTGGTAGTTTCTTGTTACTGGTAGTAACGGCCTCCAACCTAATAGCGATGGCCTCCAACCAAGTAGTTTCTTGTTACTTCTAAGGTCTGCTTGAAGGGAGTGAAGAGCAGCATTCCATTCCTGCGATCCTTTGAGGCCCGGCGATTGGCGGAAGAGTGGGGGCTTTGTGAAGGTGGCAAAGCGGTGGCGACTTTTGCAGACCTTGGCAGTGGTGTTGGAAAGCTGGTCGTAACTTAGCTAAATTGCATTTCTCAGTTTATCCTCACTGTTGTTGTTTGAATGGCAGTTGATTGATTCATTGAAGAACCTCTCTGTGCTTCAACGTGGCACAGTGAGACGGACGATTATTTAGACTCCTTCATGCTGCGGCCTTCGGGCCTTGCCCAGGTCCAGTCGTACTTGGAATGGCCCGGTGTACACCGGGCGTTGGGTGTTGAGCTCTCTGCCACCAGAGCGAAGCGTGCTTTGGAGGCTTGGGAGGCGTTGCTTCTCAGTGACGAGGCACGAGAAGCATTCTCAAGGTAGCTCACCTTCCCCGTTTGGGACCTACCCTCGTCGCCTGAGGCAAGCGTGCTTAAATTCGCTTTTGTAGTTGTATTGATCATGAAGGCATTTGAGCTGCGGCAGATGGCCCTGAATCTTGCTGGGGACAATGATGCAACACCGAATCCGGCGGAAGAGGCGGGATGCATGACATGCACAAGAGTGTAGGAATTCCGGATGAGGATCAATGATCGCAGAGTTGCTCTTGCAGCTCTGAGAGCACTCCTTACTGGCAGAAGTTTTGACTAAGCACACCCAACCCAACGAGTCATTACATCCTCCTTGGCCTTTGAGCGCCAACATCAGCGTTGCAGGTGAAACTCTTGCACGGCGACCTGCCCTGTGGCTGCATGTCCTTTTTTAATGTGTTTTTTGAGAGACCCAACTCACTTCCATGCATGACCTCTAATTCAGAGTTATGTGCATTCTAGTCGCGGGCGACGCAGAAGAGCAAACAAAAAGAGACCCAACTCAAAAGGCGCCATTTCAGAACTCTTGACTCGTGACACTGCCTTTACCATCCTTTGCAAGGTTGCTATTTGCTTGATCGCCCTTCAGACACACGCTCCGTCTGTCCGTCTGTCTGTCCGTCTCTTTTTCTCTCTCTCTCTCTCTCTCGCTGGGGGCGTGAACCCCGAGTCCAAGCATCAGGTTGGATGCCGACTTGAGTGATGTGACGCACGCCTACGTGTCTTCCCTGTGTTTTCCAGAGTCCTTGATCTTTGACGTGAGTTTGAAGTTGAAGCAGGCAACTTGGCAGCTGCCTCACTCGCGCACTGTTTCCACAATTGAGAAGAGAAATAGCCATGAGATTTATTGCTAGAGACATTCATATATATATATATGTATCAAGATTACATAATTACATAAGATGACAAACTTCACTTTTGGCGACATAAAGAGGCAAAGCGGTAGGAGCACTGACAATATGCTCCATTTTGCAGGCTCCTCGGCTTCGAGCTGTGGCATCCTTGCAGCCTTTGAATTTGGATTCAGGAGCTGGGAAAGGGCAGGAACGTGATGAGAAAGAAAGCAAGAAAGAAAGAAAGAAAGACATAAAAGAAAAGAAAAGGCAAAAAAGGAAAAGAACAAGAAAGAAAGAACGAAAAGAAAGAACACAATAGAAAACAAAGACATATAGAAAGAACGAAAGACAGAACGGTAGAAATAACAGATACAGTAGAAAGAAGGAAAGAACGAACGATAGAAAGAACGAAAGACGGGCAGAAAGAACGAAAGAAAGAACGATAGATAGAGAGCTAGTGAGAGTGATATAAAGATAGAGATAGACATGCGCAAAGGTGTCAAGGTCAAGGTGTGGATTCTTGGATTCTTGTCATCAGCATTTTCTTATTAATCTGGACATGAGACAAACTCGGGAAGAGTGCGTACGAGTTGAGTCAGCCTTAGGTGCTCGCCTTTTGGCGCTACCCACGTCCTGGACATCCCGACGAGGCCCTAAAGTATGATTGAAGGGATTCGTTCAGATTCGTTTAATCCTGCTTGACACATCTTCGACTCCTGCTACCTTCGCAACCTGGGGCATTTGGCTCAACTGTGAGGAACGCTGCTAGCGTTGCCCAAAGCTGTGTCCCAGTGACCACAAAAAGCGCTGACACACTTGGGCCGAAGATTTGCTGATGGAACGTGTGCAATGAGTGTGTGATGACTTTGCGAGCACGAACAAGCGCCTTGCTTAGCAGCGACCTGTCTGATTTGTACGATGGCTTTGCTATTGGATGGAATGAGCTCTTTGATCAGGAGACTGCACACTGCGCTTCAAATAGATTTTTGCATGCTGCAAAGTGTTGCAGCATTTTCCAAAGGGTGTCTTTCTCATTGCCTTCTATGTCTATGTTGCTTAAACTTTTGGAAGCAGACACGAAACCTCGCATTTGCACATGGCAGGAACCAACAACTTCAATTGCCAGACACAATACTCAAAGAATTGGTACCCATGATGGCCACGACGCCACCTACCATGACCATGACAGCTCTACACAACCTCCAAAGCTAGCGCCTTTACAGTGCAATGCAAGCAAGGGGAAGAACAAGAGGGTTCCAGTGCCACCACCATATCTTCGTATTGGTGGTGGCAAGCGAAGCATCATTGATCGTGTCATGAAGGAAAGGGTGCTTACATGCCCTGTCAATCAGACTCTTGGCTCAATTACATGTATGTAAGCTTTGTAGCTTCAAACACTCCTCATATCAAAGCACCAAGGATCAGAAAACCCGCAGAGGTCGTGGAGGTAGAGCTGGATCAGCTTCGTGCACAGCTCCAGAAAGAGCTGAGAGAACGTCGTCGTGATGCACGGCGTCGGAGACACATGCGGCGCAGGTGTCGACTGCAGGTGGGCAGGAAAGCTGAACGTGGTCTCACATGAGAAAAAACAGTATGGAGAAAGAAGAAGAGGAGATGAAAAAGGAAGGTAGGCCTCTTTAAAGGAGGCCTTTACCTTCCTTTGTTATTTTTTTATGAAGAAGATCCAAAAATAGAAAGCTAAGAATTTGCAAAAAGCCTTGGGAAGCGCTGGGAGTTTTTCAAGAGCGATGCCCCACACACACACATAGACGTGTGAGGTTGAAACATGTTGAAACCTGTCCTTGAAGAGGGAATTTCGCCAAATGCATAAAGCCAGCGCATATTAAGGACATGACAAGAGTAGAACAATACCGAACCACTGCTTTGTTTGGCTGAATGCAGCATGTGGAGGAGGGTGAAGATTTAGACGCAGCAGAGGCCAATTGGAAACTAGAGCCCCTAGAGAGACTCTCACCAAGGCAGGAATGTCGATTTGTGGGTTCACAATTTGTCACGCAAAGAATTGTGCGGTGAAATGCACTCATAAAATGGTTTCGCAGCCTTCAGGGTTTGGACTTGCCTTCTCGTATCATTGTATGTTTTGGTTTGGATTCTTCTTCGTGCTTTGTGATGTTTTGCGCCTTTTCCTGACTTTCGCAGAGACTCAGAGTCCTCAGAGTGTCTTTTGATTTGACTTGACGCTTAAGTGGACAGACAAATGATGAAACATGTGCAGTGTGCCCTCCAGCTGTCAACTCGACAGTGAGAGTGAGACTGAGTGAGATATGTTTAGAAAGGCAAAATTAGCACTGAACCCAATCGTGCCAGGTCTGACCGCCAGCAAAGTGCTCGCTCCTTCTTCTCACAACTTGGCCACAAAAGGCTGGGAGATGTGTCAGCTCCTCAAACTGCGCGTTGAGGGGCATCATTTTCTTGCCTGCCTCGTCGGTCAGAATCCAGCCACCTCGTTGACACCACCACTACATGGTAAAGTGCTTGCGATGAAATTGCTCAGCACATCCTGTATATGGGTGGAAACGTTTCACTCTTGGAGCATGCCTAGACTCTGACTCAAAAAGGCAAAAGATCTGACTGATGTGCGGAGTGAAATTTGTCTACTAGGGCCTAGGGAAACAATTTTTTGCTGCATCGCTTCCGACCAGCAGGTATGGGCACCATTGCTCACTTTTATGACCTCGGCTAAAAAGGGATGGGCGCTTTCGCATTTTCAGAATTTCGACAGATCAAGCTGACTTGGTTTGAGCGAACATGGATGATATATGTTCCGGATGCAAAGCCTTCTCCAGTCTCCACGTTCCACTGTCAGTTGTCGCTGTAGTAGTACATCTCGCATCCTTTACTCATTTTTTCCTTCATTTCCTCTCTCTTCACAGGGTATTGCTGGGGTTGATACTGCGAATGGGTGATCTAGGTTTGGGCAGGTGGTGTTCAACGCTTTTTCGGCCTTTTTTCACACGATTTGGCGCAGCCTGACTACAGTACAGTTGTGTCCCTGTGTGATCTGTCGTATCCTCCTGCAAGCTTGTTGCCTTATTGTCTCACGTGTTTTGCCGCTGCCGTCCTGTCTCCTTAGCTTTTCTCCCTACTTGGCCTGTGTGATTGTGATCTACAATTTGCCTCCGGTGCCGTCTTGTCTCCCAAGCTTGTTGCTTTGCTATTCGTACCTTGCGCGTGCGAGCAACATTTTTGCGGGGTCTATCTATAATCTATATATATATATCAGTGTTATTTTTCAGGCCATGTAGGCTGCTATGTCCGATTAAAGGTTTTTTGGGACATATCGGTTTGCAAGCATTTTTTTCCCCAAGCCTTCGAACCTGATACGTCCCCTCAACGGGTAAGACCAACGAAGAGATGCAGAGAGCACAGGAGTATGACTCGTTTGCATGCGTTTGCGAAGTAAAAAGTACCAAGAGAATCAGAAGCGAGTTTAAGGAGCCTATATATGCTGGCATGCTGGGGACCTTGAAGGGCCAGATGAGTTTGCTTCATGTCGCTTCCATCATGTCATGACGTCGCCTGGGCGGCATTCCCCCAAAATACAGGCCCAAGTTTTTGCGGTGGTGCTTTGTAAGCAGGCATCCCAACAGACCAAGTGGTAGAGAAAACAAGATGATTTTCATAGAGCTGGGGTGCAGAGGTATATATATAAGTTGTTCTTTGAAACACTTCAATATTGACAAACCCAGTATCCCAGCTCAAGTTCCTTGGGCCAAAGTAATTGAAATGCCGATCTTCCCAGATAGAAAGCGTGACTGTTTTTTTTGTTTCAGGTTTCAAAGTGTTGTTAGTTATAGAGTTATATAGACGATGTTAGGAGTAGAGTAGATCACCAGGTCACATCAATCTATATTCGGGTTGTACAACCCTCAAAAAATATACATTTCCGGGTCTTCCTTGCACATTGACATTTTATACAGTTTTTTTTTGCTTGGCTGATGATTTTAAGATTATAAATATCCCGCCCTTTCATACATGTCATTGAACAAGTATGCATCCTGAGGGCTGTTTCCTCTCCCTCCCCTGCTTTGAAACATTATTATTAAGGGAAATCAAGCTTCTTGAGATTTCCTCATGTTCATACAATGTCCAACAAATGTGGATGTGCACAGATCGGTGTGTACCCATCCCTATGCATATATTTAGGGTCTCGATGTCCCCCTGCCTTTCAGACATACCTTGGAACCGGTGTTTCCAGAAACACCAAAGAGAGCATGAGACATGTTGATTTATCCTTATGTCAGAACTCCACTGTTCGCAAAATTAAACGCCTCTTACATACCTGCACCCCGAGCTTCAAACATTCCGACACATGCATATTCCAGCCTTTAAAGAGTTGGACCTGATGATGAGTAGAGAATGGCGCACCAAGAAGCTAGCCAGAAAGGTCAGACTGACTGTTTCATTTGCAACCTTACAATGTCCTACAAGAAGCGGGCCGATGGGCTCTGCAGCGCTCTCAGCCGTCGGTTTCCACGGCTTGGAGCCTGATACCTATGCTTTGCTCGCACGATGTGATGAGAGCTTGTGATGGCCTTGCTAGTTTAATGCATTTTGGCTGAAGGCTTGGAGCTCGCCTCCCCAACTACAAACTGGGCATGCTTGACCTGGTGATGGCCGGTCCATCGCTTTCGAAGATGATTCGTTGGTTGCCATGCTCCGCCTCGAACCTACCCGGCCGTCCTTACCCCCTGTCTGCACCTCCTCAACCCCGTCCTCAGCCCTCTAACCTGCCAAATCTCCACAGGGCGTGTGCCCGGTCTACCCCTTTTCAATCTCTAATCATCCAATCAGTGTACGCCTCCATCTGCTGATGCCCGACCAAGGAACACAAAACCTCCGTCTCAGCGGTATCACACTTCTTTATTCCTGAACCAGTTTACGGTTGGGGTTCTCTCATGAAAAAAGAGCTGGCCACACTGGCTGGCCGCGCCCCTGATCCGAATACAACCGTCCAGTTTCCGAATACAACCGTGACCGCGCCCCTGAACTCTGTGTCCGGGGTCAGTGTCCGGGTCTTGTCCTCCGCTTGTCCTGCTGTTGTCCTTTGGCCGCGGTGGCCAACACTGTGCGCTGTGTGCTCCTCTTGTCCTCTTGTTCCTCAAACAGTTTACCGTTGAGGTTCTCTCGGAAAACACCCTGGCCGTCTTTGGCCACACTCCTGAACCCTGTGTCCGGGTGTTCTCCTGTCCTCTTCTTGTCCTGCGGTCTGCTCCTTCCGTCCTCTCTGGCCGTCGCAGACCCTGTGCCCTCCTCTTGTCCTCTTGGTGTCCTCCTGTGCGAACCCTGTGTCCTTCTCCTGTCCGCCTGCTGTCCTCTGGCCGGGCTGGCGAATGCCGTACTACCAACAACATTGCAAAAAAACATGCTGAAGTTGTTTGGGGTCTATGCTGGCATCATAACTATGTTAACCATGAGCACCTGTGCCAGCGATACCTGTCATCCAGGGGAACAGTGAACGAATTCAATGGTTGAACCAGCTATCCTTCATCTCGGCCTTGACATTTCAATTCCTTTGCGCTGTCCATTTCCGATGCATTTTCTTTAAAACCTAGCCTGGCCCAAAACGACTCCACATCCTAAGACGCAGTGAACGCAGGAAGTACCAATCAATTTGCACATTGCCAAAAAAGGAAGCCACAGTCTTGTGACACATGAGGAGTCTTTTGAAAAACCATGACTGGGTGCGGAGGGGATGCCATAGCTGCTGGTGAGCAGGACAGAATCATTGCTTACGTGCAGCTTGTCGGCACTGACATTTGTTGCAAGGTAGGACGGTAGGACGAACAGATTTGTTGGGACACTTAAGGACTAGGCTTGCCTGTATTGAGGGTGAAAAACTTTGGAGACCATTCTTGCCAGTGATTTAATGTAATGCATTAATTAAGAATCGAGAGATGACTACCTGTGATTGGTCAAGCTCTTTAACTATCAGGAGCCGGCAGACGAAGGCTCCATTTGAAACTGATGCTTGTCCAATTGACATATCAGTATTTTCCAATTTGCATGCACCAGTCAGTGTACCTTGGGAGGTTTTGGGTGCATTTGTACTTTTGGTTGGCTCAAGTAGGACGCCCATTGCTCACACAGAGACAGACACACAAGACTGCATGCTTGATCTCAAGCTTTTGGGCAAGAGACTCTCAAGGCTAGATCCAGGTCGCACGGTTTTTTGTCGCTTTCAGATTTGCTGCGACGCAATCCCACCGTTCAATCTTTCAAGCAATCTCGGAGACTGAAAACACAATCCTGAAAACACAGGTTTTATGTGTTTATTTTTTTAAATGTCCATTGCCCGTTCTCCTTTTTCGACTTTGTTTTGATCTCAACTAAACTTGTACACAGTGTATGGACTTAGTTTACTGATTTGCTTCAGCCATGGCTGGCCCGATGCCGAAACAGGACAGCACGCACCAGGCTTGGATAATTTCTGTGGTCGGTGTGAATTTTGTAGACGTTTCACATCAGTCAACTTTCTGTCCCTGTCCGATCCATGTGGACTCATGTGCTTTTGCAAACTTGTCAGGACCCTGAGAAGCCGAAGAAGGTTCCTAGACACTGATGTTGGATTGACCTTGGCTCGCTTGCTTTACCTTGTGGGTTTCTAATCAGCCAACTCTATGCTGATAGTCGATTCTGCGTTTTATGGCTGAGGCTTCTAAGCGCCACCTTGCGCTTGGTGTGGGGACGTTGCTGGCACTAATTGCTGTTCCTCGACTTCAGTCTATGTTACATGAGAGAACCTTCAGTTTCTGTCAATGACAACCATAGAGACGAAGGGCAGAACAGATTGCTTCCTGGTGCTTTTGGTCGAGGCTTATGTTTATAAACAGGGTGGCAAAGAGGACCAGTTGATGCCAAAGCACAGGGCAATCCATCAAAAACTGCTGATGTTTGAAGGAACTGCTGAATGTCATCCGGGAAACGCTTCTTTCGCTGCAATCCCTGCGCAACTATGGTGCTTTGGGTTGGGCACCTTGGCTTGGGTATCAATGTTTTTCGAGAAACTGGCTTTACGACAGACCATGCACACATATAAACTTTGGCCACATATTGTGAATGCAACAAACAGCAAACAAATTCATTTGGCAGCTGCCTGCTTGAATCTTGCTGCCTAGGTGATTTTTGTGGTTGTGTTTATTGCCCAACTCACAGTTTGTCTGCCTGGCACTATGGTTCGGGTTCCTGAGCTGCTAGTATCTTTAGTGTAACTAGACCGTTTGTACATAATAACATGCCTTGGCATGCCTTGGCAATGTCTTACACACCGAATTCTGCCAAGACTGCACTGGACGTGTCTCGAGGCATGCCACGAGTCCTAGTGGTCAAGTGGGTTTGTATTTGCTGGCTTTTTCTGCAGCATTTGGGCTCACCAAAGTGATGCGGGATTATATACAACACGACACGTGCGCCACACAGAACAGCATGCAGGTCGTACGATAGCAGAGGTCTTTTGCGCGGCAAAGAGACGGCGGGATCTCACGAACACCCGTCCCTTTTTTCATTCCTTGACAATTGTCACTCTCTGGGCGCTATGTCGTTCACCATCAGCGTTTGTTTGTTGAGCGGCCACCTTGCTGACCTCGAGGTGATTTCTTTCACTTGTCAACCTGCATACATTCAATGCTCAGTCCTGAAGGTTGTTGGTTGTTTTCCTTGACCATCCAGTATCATGCTTTCATGACGCTTTCATGAGAGGTATCCCCAGCACAGTCGGTGCTTGAGCTGATGATTCAAGCTTCAAAAACGCTTGGTAGACCCTTGAAGTCGCTGGCTTATCAAGGCGGGCTTTGGATCGGATTGGCCGTCGTTGAGATTGCATGTTGGTTTGCACAGTCCGCATTATGAAAAGAAACTCATTTATATAAGGACATTAACCAGGACGAACAAGACGCGTTGTTCTGCAATTTACTGTAGGCTGTTCATGGCTCTTCTCTTTACACTTCAGCAACCACTGATAGCTTTTACATGCGTTTACCAGAATTTAATTTCCGGACTGTTGGGTTCCCATTCAGTGAAATAGAATGAAAGAGACCATACAGAGCACTCATTGTGTCAGGGCGCCGGCTCTTGAGGGGAGAGAGCGTGAAGGTGCCTCAAACAAACGATACACTGAAATATTGCCATTGCATTTTGGTAGCTGAGCCTTCACTGTTAGCAGATTTTGCAGGAACTTGGCTTGGAGGACGGAAGCGTTGTAAATGCCTTGGTCAGACAACCAGGCTGGTATTTGTGCTTGATAATTTTGTGCTTTGCAAGTTGCTTGTCATTGTCCAAAGACGATCTTTCTAGGTTTGTTGACGAAGAGATAAAGATGATAAAGACGACCATGTGTTTCCGGGTGAACTTCAGCCAACATGAGCCAACGCTGTTCGCCAAATGTTCGCATCGTCAGACGCTCCGCAGGCTCGGTGCTTTGCGGGCACCGAAAATGTGGCGCCTTCGCTTGCTTGAAAATTGATGGTGCCGTGGCGACCTGGGGACATCCAGACTGCCTAGACAACCACCCCCAGCACGAGCACCTCGGCTACAGGTTCCCTGTAGACGACCTCAAAAAGTTATCATGGATACATTGGAAGGAAGTCTGAGGATGCAAAGTTAGTGGAAGCATTAAGAACCATCAATGCACAGAAAGATTCGATGAGATCCCTACCTTTCAGAGGAACCTGAATGCTCAGCAGCTCTATGCTTCCAGCTCTGCTTTTGCCGCCATCACTGATCAGGCGCCTTCCGGGTTCTAATTAGTTGCAGCTCCAAAGGGCACTAGGACACAGGGATGCAAAGCGGTGAACGGACGATTTCCCTATCTATTTCCGAGCAAGTGAGCTGACAGCTAGCCTCATCATACCTTCAGTGGTGTTCGAGACGGTGTGGGAAATGGAGATGGAGGTGATTGCCAAATTGGCCCATGTTGTAGGTGAATACAATAATTACATATATATTATATAATTACAACATAATACAATATAAAGTTGCTGTTGCTCACGATTTAGCGATGCTTGAAAGCTTCCGGGTTCCTCTTAAAGATTTATTTCGCAAGAACTTGGAACTGCGATGAGCTTGTAGGGCGAAGTGGTGGCATGGGGCGACCCTGCTGGTGGGGGCGACTGCCAAGACGTCGCGGACCAGCTGAGGCGAGCTGGAGGGGGGTGGGCCTTGAGCCTCTGTTTTCACTTCGTTAAAGAGAACCTTGGTTCCTAGTAGCTTCTTGCTCCTAGTAGTAAGGCCAGGAGCCCCTAGTAGCGTCCTTGCTCCTAGTAGCGATGCCAGGAGCCCCTAGTAGCTTCTTGCTCCTCAAATGGCTGCATCGAGCTTCATTGAACATTGCATGATGTTGACATATGTTGACTGGGTGACATGACTTAATGTGACATGAAGTTTAGCGAACCGAGCAAGTATCAGAGTGGACATGACAGCGGTTCACGCCGCTGCCTCAGGTTTGTACAGAATGTCTATGCGTCTCAAGGAGCTTTTGCTGCCGTGAGGATGCTTTGAAGTGAATTCATTGGCATTGGTGTTGCGGAGGCCGCAGGATACTAGAGATGAGCACCCAAATTAATATAGATCAAAAATCATAAGAATCTGAAGGAGAAACCTTTCTATTGATTTTAAATGGGAGAGATTTTCAACTACCTTTAACGTGTTTCTTCACACTGGGCATTCTTCAGAGAAGCTTCTCCAGTTGCTGAGGGCAGGAGCTTCGTTGAAGAATCGTCACTTGTCTCACGTCGTTGTGGGCTTGCCTGTTGTGGCACGTAGCTTCAAGAGAAAAGCATCGAAACCCGCATTCAATCAAAGCAACTTTGGGCTGATGTTGAAGCTCGATCCAACAGTTCGATGGCTTCTTGTGGTGCTTCTTTCAGCCTACAAGCACAGGGCCTACAACCCAGTTCCGAACTTGTGGATGCTATGATTTTCCACTACTCCATAGTGTTGAAAGAGTTTTTCAAGTTTTACACGCCCAGACATGGCTGGTTTTTTCCCCAAACAGTTTACTGTTGGGGTTCTCTCTTAGAAAATTACACCACCGTAGACCCCAAACAGTTTGTGTTTTTCAAAATGGGAACACTCTGCAAATAGAGCTTGCGACGTCCAGAGCTGGGAGACAAATGTAAAATTAAGGATTGCAAGGCGGAGGCGGACACAGCAGCCCAGCGCTGGGAGACAAATCAAAGGATTGCAAGGCAGAGGCGGACACAGCAGCCCAGAGCTGGGAGACAAATGTAAAGGATTGCAAGGCAGAGGCAGACACAGCAGTCCAGAGCTGGGAGAGACATGTAGACACAGGGAGGCAAATGTAAAGGATTGCAAGCGACACGCAGCCCAGAGCTGGGAGACAAATGTAAAGGATTGCAGGGCAGAGCAGCTGGGAGACAAATGTGAAGGGTTGCAAGCGAGAGGGGGAGAGAGGAGGCACATGTAAAGGAAAGAAGGAAGACAAGGCGGACACAATGACCAACAAGAAGTGGCACAACAAGGGAGACAAGAAGGGAGACAAAAGGAAACAGAAGGGAGACAAGACGGACACAGTGTCCAACAAGAAGGGAGACAAGACCGGAGACAAAGGGAGACAGAAGGGAGACAAGGCGGACACAATGACCCACAGGAAGGGAGACAAGACCGGAGACAAAGAAAGAATGGAGACAAGGCGGGCACAGTGACCAACAAGAAGGGAGACAAGAAGGAAGACAAAAGGAAACAGAAGGGAGACAAGGCGGACACAGTGACCAACAAGAAGGGGGACACAGTGACCAACAAGAAGGGAGACCAAGGGAGACAAGCCGACGGAAGGCGGACACGCTGTCCGGCAACAAGGCGGACACTCAGAGAAACATGGAAAACAAACCACAGCGGAAAAGGGCGGACACCAGCAGTGACACACCTCGGAGACAAGTGAACAGAAATGCTACATGGCCAACGGAAAAGGGCGGACACCAGCAGTGACAGACC